TCATACATTCTACATCTGAGACATACCTACATAGTATATATAGACTAACTAATCAACAGACAATGAAGCAAGCTGCAAGAGAGTGAGCCAAGTCCACTATCCCCCCCTCTTTGTGTGATCCCTCTAAGCCTCTCACATAACCTCTCTTTCCCCTTTCTTAACAGGTTATGAGCCTTGAGCTCCCTGCCTACACTTTATCTACACTCTACTACATCTATGCTCTATACAGTTCTACACATTACATGCATGCACACAGCATAATACAACACAGAACTCGACTCACCTGTCTGAGTATCCCAAACGTGAATCAATATGCTGTGAACACACAATCTACCATACTACATACAACCCAGACATTATATGATCATCATCTTAGTGATTATGATCATTGGCCCAGTAATAACATAATCTATGCAGGCAACATTGAAACTATAATGAGTATCACTTACTGCAATTATTAAATGCTAAAATACTCTATAATATCACAGAGATCATGTTATAATAAATTAACTGATCATACTACAGACAAATGTTAAAAAAAAACGAACGTTAAAAAGATTAATAAAACAAATGCTACTCTTCCACTATTAACATTATAATAGTACAAATGATTGACACTGTCAACAAGCACACATATGTTATAGTATAAATCAAATAATAACACATATAGTAATATCACAGCTGAACGATTAATGCTCAAAACAAGCACATATATGCTAAACAGCATATTAAATCAAATAAATAAAACATTTAACATGTATTATAAACAATAATATAATTACAGACACTATAATAACAATAATAATAACAATAATAATGATAATAATACAGATAGAACTAACAGAACGAATACAGAACAATATAATAACTAACACATATTATGGTTGAGCAATTATATGTAACATATTGGATTCAGCAGTTACATGTCAGATATTGCAATTACTTATTGGATACCAAATATAATACACATATCTAAGATATACAGATGAGTACAGATATACAAAAGTATAATTAATAACTACAAATCAAAAAACAATGCTACAGAACGTATAAACTAACTATGTATGAAAGAATAATGTTATAACATGTAAATATTAACTACAGCACAAAATAAGTGCAAAAATTATAATTATTAAACAAATAATACTACTTTACACATTAATACAATTGTGTAAATGCATACTAACAACAAACGAAAGAATTATATCTCTAATATACTTGAAACAACACATTAATACAACTTAATTACACAGAACGTGTTATCACAGCAACTGATTATATAATAAATTTCGAAGTTGTAATGGCAACATTAACTGTACAGTGTATATACCTTAACAAACAATTATTAAATTTACATTGTGACAATATAGCTTGTAGGAGCAAAGTATTAAGCTAATAAGGCTATTACAATGAATAATACAAATATTATTATTACAAACACATTATTATAATAATTACAATCAAAAACAATCATAATATAATATGATTAAATAAATTAATAAAATGTTTAAGCCATATTCTCAGACAGTATAATATAAAATAGGTAATAACAGATGCAAGTGTACTTAATAGAACTCAGCACATTTACTAAAAGTACTACATAAATAATAATTACAATGTTATTAAACAAATATTATACAGAAACAAACGAATTACCATATGTTTCTAACACAAAAACAAAATATTCATTCATAGTTACAAATGATAATTAATAAAAGATAACAAGTACAAACAAATCTTGTATATTATACATAATGTGTACTTATCTACTATAACAAACAAAATACACATTATATAAGTTGACAAACGTTAATCTACATATAAGTGATATATTGGATTATGTTTACTATAATCGTCTCCTAGCATTCTTTAGTTAATCTAGTGCTATACACAATTGTAGTATTCGTTTGACGTTTTATTTGTTAATTGGTTTGCTAGGTAAAACGTTTTATATATTAGTTTTATTTATTTTATTTGAATCATTGTATAGATATACCTATTAGTATCTATCCAATGTATTTCATAGTATTATAATACTGTTCACACTTGTATTAATTGTGTAGTGAGGGCAAATTGATTGTTTGTACAAGAATTGATTTAATAGTTTTATTTAATTATATGTATGCACTCCATACTTGTTTATATAGTTATTATCTGTGTATTGTTTGGTTGTAGTTACAAATTATATTACAATTATATTTGTATTATCATATAGATATATTATTTATCGTTTTATGTATGTTCTAAAGTATTATTTTTGTTATTCATCACTTTTATCCATGAACTATAGTCTGAATTGATGAATTATTTTGTTATATGATGTGATAATTGTCTGTATATTATTTATTTTTGTATTAAACATTGTTAAGTTAATTATATTATTGTATTAATATTATTTGCCAAGTATGAGCATTTGTTTTGTAGTAGAATTATTATTTATTTAACGTTAAAGTTCAATTGCACATTGTATTGACTTCCATTATTTAGTTCTGATCAATGTAATTTTGCTTCACATTGAATGATTTACCTTTATGATCTGTTATGTCTGTTCATAACTTCTATTGCTTAGTCAGTGCTTAGTCTGTGCATTTCATTATTCTATTTTTCATAGTGTCCATAGCATTATACTTTCTGTTCCATTGTTTATATTTAGTTATTAATTTTTCGTGCATATTATCCATTTTCTCCCCTTCAATTCAAGAAGGTATTTCTTTGAAGAATTGGATATTTCTTTAATGTTTATTAATTGTTGTTATAATATAATATTTATATATAATAATTGTAATTGCTTTTGTAGTTTGATTTCTAATTATTAGTATTTTAAAGCTGTGTGTAACATTCATTATAGTAATTTAAATGTTATTACTATTATATCTTTGTTACTGTTGTGTTACAATACATCATTCTTTACAAAAGAAAAAGCAAAGAACAATAGCTATAACATACACACACACATATATATATATACACAATACTATGATTGCAACAATTCACAACAACATTGTTAATGATAAATAATACAAACACACATTAGTAATAATTTACAACAGATAGCTATGTTGGCTATTAAAGAAACAATGTAACAGATTGTATAGTTACTCAGGATGTATTAGAAACAATCAATTAACAAACATAACATTAATAAATTAATACACAGATATAAACAATAATGTAAAGTGAACAAACAAACAGTACATTCATGATATAATGCATATATGATGCACCTAGACACATAGTGAGATGCCTGCAGCCAGACATAACATCTATACAACAAATATACGTTAGCATAAAACCTCATCAATCTTAGAATGAAGCAATCTGGCAAAAACAGATATTATTATTAATATTACAATATACAATCGATGCAACACTTCAATCTGAAGACATAAATCAGCTATTGCTGAATGCTTAACACATATACAAATGTAGACAAATGTGGACAGTAATGATTAAAGAAGGATATTATTGTAACATTGAATATACATTTTACTAGCATGATTCATTAGTTTCACAGTGAAGTAAAAAGAAATTACTAGAGTACTCAAACAAACTGAATAACAAACAATATGACTTAATAACAAACAATATGTCTGAATAACAAACAATAAAACAAAACAAGCAATTGTATTTATGATTTAAATATGCACATATACATACCTACACATGCTAACAAGATTCTGCAGGTCTCTGAAGCATTTATAAATTATTTAATAACATTTACAAACAATCTATTATGATAACAATGCTGTTATTCAACAATATATTACGAACAAACAAACTAATTAAATATACTTAATCAATATAACATTGGACAAACTTAACACAAAGTGGATAACATTCAGAACAGACAGTACACAGAACAAACAATACATTACTACAATACTAATAATATTATTATTAACTACATCAAGTTATAAACGTGTTACACAAACGAACAATTGTACAATGCAGTTGTAATGATTAAACTATCTATACATACTGTAAGCAAACATCTTACAAGTCTACTAGACCTAGTAAGAGTTTGAAGGGGAGTGTTAAGACAAGACTACACAAGAGCATGTCTCAGATGATATAAACTACATTACAAGTAATGACAAACAATGATGGAATACCTTCCATCATACATTCTACATCTGAGACATACCTACATAGTATATATAGACTAACTAATCAATGGACAATGAAGCAAGCTGTGAGAGAGCAAGCTGAGTCCACTATCCCCCCCTCTTTGTGTGATCCCTCTAAGCCTCTCACATAACCTCTCTTTCCCCTTTCTTAACAGTATTACATTCAATTGCAGAGCCTTACTGATAACATCACTAATTGCAACTATTAGTGCAAGTGATAAAGGGCATGAGACAAGTTTCTGTGGCTCACCAGGGTAAGGTACACAAAAGTTAAATTTGACAAGCCATGTCACGTCACAGTCACAATCTTCGCTTACCCGATATGGAAGGACCCTGCGGCCAAAATCGTGAGCTTCACCAACATCACCAGAGGCCCCTTGTGGACAAAGGCTCAGAAGTGACAGAGATTACATATATTCATAGGATTTGAGCCTTATAAGATTGCTCTATTCAAGTTCTGAAGCTAAATTTCAGTAGTAGGCTTTGAGCACTAACACGTCCTATTTGTATTATAAATAAATGATTAGTAATTTATTTGTAATATACTATATTTAGTATAATTAGTCATAATATATTATTTGTCAGCGGCCAAAATCTACTCGAGAAAAATTCAATTTTTTCTTTTTTTCCATTTTTCGTAATTTTGAAAATCTGTTCCACAGAAATGTAGAGAATTGTATCTGCTACATTTCTGTGGTCTTACATTATTGATTTTTGCTTTGTAGTGGGATGAGTTTCGTTGCCAGTCTGTGAGCCAGGAAAGGAAGTTAGGGTTTGATCACGTGCGTCACACTGCTTGTTGAGATTAACTTTCGTGTACCTTATATTGCTCCAGAAGTATTCAGGGTGAAGGCCAAAAGAATGCTTAACTACGGAAAGAAGGTTGATATATGGTCTATTGGGTTAGTGTAACTCGTTGCTATGCATTTCAGGCCTTTATGTGGAATTCATTTGTTAGGGCGGTAGCGTTCCAGCTCCTGACTGCAAAATTCATTTACGACTGTATCCCATTTAAAGAGGAGGATGCTCAGCTTGCCAATGAAAATATGAAGACGGTAATTGCAGCGCTCAATGTAACTAATGAGCATATTGTAAAAGTCTTAGAGAGAGATGACTGCTCTCATATAACAAGGGAAGGTAAAGAATATATGTGTTATTGAGATGCTTCCGCACACTAATAACACACTTCAACGTTCGACAGGAAAGGCATTCTTGAACCGCTGTTTCAAAGTCAATCCTTTAGAAAGGGCTGCTGCTGACGACCTCCTGATTGATAAAGTAAGCATTGAAACGATTCTACTTGTCGGGGGTATAATATAGTGTTGCTAACTTTGCCTTTTTACTAGTGGTTCCAGAAGGAAGGTGAAATGGACCACGAAATAAGAACGAAAGGCTGGTGGTCTAATCTGGAAAAACTAAAAGAAAGGTTGAAGAAGGGAGGGCATAGTGTTCTGACGATTCTAGCCAAGTTGTGTGAAAAACGATCAAGTAATACCAATAGTGGGAGTGAACATCAGTCCAGCAGAAGGGGAAGCGACGCAACAAGTGAGAAAAACAATAAAAATAAAACGAAAATGAAAGGCGGTGAGAGAGAGGAGCTGTCTACAGCAGACAAACGAAAAAATACACTTTGAGCTGGTATAGGATGTTGCAAGAATCTTGCATGGGTGAAGGTGTATTATAAAATTATATACGGAATAAATATGGCATCTTGGTGACCATGGCACTTTCTTCAATCTCAAATACTGACTGAATGATACGAGAATCTCAAATTCATGTACTGGGATCTATTCACGAAAGAATTTAACACATGCGTTACTTCATACCATCGCTTCGATACAATCGATCAAAAAATAAATCCGCTTTCCTTCCTTCGTAATTCAACTTTCGCCTCGCCTTAAGGGTGCTCGAGCAAATATCCTCCATCAATCGTGAACGTCTAAGACAATTTAGTAAATGTTATTAGCTTCCTTACCAAGAAACATAAAGTGAAGTGACGTACTGAACCGTATGCATACTGATTGCAGGCCAGTGCTAGAATGGCTTGTGCCATATCCTCATCCCGACCGGGACGCCCTGCAGGAATTCCCTTCTTGGCGCCGTAGGACTCGTCGACAGGGAGTTCGGACTTATTTGTTTCATCGGAACCCTCAGCTTCGAAATTAAAGAGGTTGGGGCATTACTTCTGGTTAAACTAACAATAGCTTACTTGTCATCTCTGAAGGGAAGATTCCCGGAGCAATACTAGAATCAAGGCCGTCATTTAGAAATTCGATAGCAATCGTGTGTTGGAAAACTAATACACACTTATTGACGCGCACGTTCACCTGTGTACGGCGACATTCTTGTGCAAGTAGAGCACTGAGATGAATTGCAGCAGATTTCGATACATTATATTTGAAATGGTGCTGTGATGTTCGAGTGATTCCTGACATGCTTGTGATGTTGATGACCACACCACGGTGGGCAGCCTTCGTTCCAGCAGACGCTGCAAGTAATGGGAGGAATCTGACTGTTGTGAAGAAAGGACTGATCTCAAGGAAGTCAGACAAATTATTTGGAAAAACGAACCGCAACAGAAGCCGAGCTCACCCTATGACATTCGTGCGATACACATCCTCCCAATCCACGATTTCCTCATCCCAAAGGACTTTACTAAGCGCGGCTGCATCCTCGTCGCCTTTCTCAACTTCACTTGTTCCCTTGGTAATACCAGCGTTATTGACAAGCACCTTAAAAGTCACCATTAATGTTAGAACGATCCCAGCAAGCCTTCAACGCACGTCAACATGTGATTCGCGCTTGCCGATTTCCGCTACAAGCTGTTCAATCGACGCTTTGTCTGTGACGTCAGCAGAAACCGGAATGATCGCGCCTTTCGGGTGGACGAGTGATTGCCCATGTGTTGCGAAGGCTTGCTCAAGCGTTGATTTGCGACGAGAAGTAATGTCTGTGTAGTAAGGCAATAATCGATCAGATATACGAATGTATGAGTCTGAGAACTGGGGGAAAGACTCACAGACCCGCGCGCCGTTATTTGCAAATGCTTGAGCGGCCTGGATACACGATCAGTCAAAGGTGCTTATGATTGACGTTATAATCATCCTACCATGAGACCTGAAATCCGTTCAGCACGTTGAACATATCAATAACTTTCAAGTTTGATATACGCACCGATGCCTGTTCCACCCCCAGTCACTACACAGACCCAGTCTTAAGAACACATATATTCAGATGGTTAAATCCAGTTTTTACAATTTTACAAAGACAGCATGTCAACCTTCGACGTTGAAGAGATTTGAAGTCCTAAAAGTCGCGTTGTTTGCCATTGTGTTTATTTTGCACGTATTGCTAGTCACAGTCGAGGTAGACAGGGGACGAGATGAGAGACGAAGCTGGCGAAGTGCAAACATTTATACAAGGTATATGTCTCAAATTACAGAGTTTTGAAGCCCACTCTCAAGCAGGATGAGGAGTTCTACGTCATCGGGAGTGTCATTGGCGCAGCGATAGACGTCGTCGTACGGGTCACCTCGTCGGGGCTCGGACTGAACATATCCTAACTCTTGAACAAGGCATAGTCGTTCTGTAGACTTGGCCATTTGCTCTTCTAGCAACGTACTCTCCAAGAGATTGACGTCCATTTGGTTTGACATTGCAACGCTAATTTAAAAGACGCGCGGGCACGTGGACATAGAATTAGTCATCATAAACATAATCTCTCTACCATAAGTGGAAAACATTAACATTTCGGTAACTTGGTGTTTTCCCAGTCGCTGGATAGTGTATATTCCCATTTGCTTCGTCCAATTACGCGAGCGGCTTTTTTTACAGGCCAGGATGTTTAACCCTAGATATAGGCTGGACTAGTCATATTTGATGAGCACATTGTAACCTCCATCTTTGACAACATATTAAGAAGCAGTAAGCTAGATACACATCACTGCTAGGCAATTACAACGGTCTAAAACCAAACCAACATAAGGATATTTTTTAGAAGATTTATCATGGTATCCTGGCGAAATCTCGGTGAAATGGAAGGAAGAAACTTGCGTATGTTTAGACTTGGTAACATAAAGCAAGAAGATACAGAGTCTAGCTGAAAGGAGTAAAACATATTTGTGAATTGTGGCAGTCACGGAAGTTTGGAGTGTCCGTAGTGGCAGATCCGCTTCTACAGTGCAGCAAGGCCATCAGGAGAAACCACTTCATAATGATTCTAATCACCCTGTATCACTGATTTCATACTGATCCTGATGAATTGAATATCAAAATCGTGGATGATAGTTGAGTATCATCATTGAAATTATTATATGATATAGTATAGCTTGTATCTTGTCATAATGGTCAATACATAAAACCAAACTGGTAATACAACTCTAGATCTAGTGTGATACAGTGCAAATTAGGTGATAGTACAATGTGTAGGAGGAAGTTAAGTCGTGGTGATGCGCTGATAATGCATGAGATGTAATCTAGACTTGTCCTTTGCATTCCGGTATCGTGATCGTTTGATTTGAAGGCTGCAAGATCTAGAGAGCCAGTGCCAGTCCAAAGAGCGCAGGGAAAAGAACAAAAACAAAATTGAATCGCATGCTAGGCTTGTGTACGTGCCTTCCTCCATTTGACGCGTCGTTCGTCAGTGCACTGACCGGATTTGCTCCGCCTGCCGCCGAGGTTGTTTGCACAGTGGGGAAAGGCGCAGCGCTCGTGTCTGACATCTCCATAGTCACTGTCACCAGGTCGTTATTACCGCCACCGGGGCCGGACGTCCGAGAGGAAGATTCTGAAGTGGCAGACTCTGGAGATGAGGAGGCGGGTGCTTCACGGAGCTTCTCGCCAGGAGTGGAAGTCCGGTTGCCAGTCATGTCAGTGAGGGTAAAGTCCGCTGTGTAGTATTTTACAGGGGGATTGTCGCTGCTGAATACGATGAAGCTGGAGAGCCGTAGGGGGAATAATGTGTATGGTCACTCATGTGCTAAACAGGTTAACGTCGGTCTCTCCTGAGTGCCACTCACAAATTAGACGCATTTTCCCAGAGATCCGCTGGTATAAATGCACGATAAAACAATTGCTGGGGATCCACGTCGGATGCCAAGTTTGTGAGGTGTTTGGGCTCCTGTAATACATACCAGTGTAAGAATTATCTGTGCACGATGAAATGCATCCAGCTACGGGTGGCAGCGAACAGAACAACAGAACACCGCATGGGAACTTACATTGTCGTCTACCCAGAGGTCCATAAAACACGGCCCCATTTCTGCAAGCGATGGCGATGCGTCAGAATCTATCCATGTTACGTTGTTCCAACCGCTGCGCCAGACTGTTGCTTGGACAGGCGTGGTCGGATATAAGCTTGCACCGACTGAACCTGTAGAGATAACAAGGGAGAGGAGAGAAAGGAGAGGCCGATGCATAGGGAGCCAATGGAATATTACGAGAGCGGAGAATATAAAGTATAAGCGAGAGTGATACTAGTGACAGTCCGACAGGCTGAGGCTGGGACGAGAGGTGTTCACTACTTGACCCGGTGTTTCGACGATCACGGAAGCTGAATTCGTGAATAGCGATCGGCATCGCTCAAGTGTTCCGAATTCGAGGTCCGCTGGAGCACGTGCCTCGGAGGTCGCTGTAAAGCTCCATTTTAGGAAATTGCCATGCTTCTCTCTCCGCAGACCACCATCTCTTCTCGTTCTCCGCGTCGCTAATCTTATTCCATGCACTTCACTCGCATCTTGATTTGTCCTCTCTCGCTCCGAGGAATAGCCCCCTTCAGCTGCTATCTGCGCCAGTGACATCTCAACGTTATCTTGCTATCATCCAGCGAAGGCTTTCGAGCTTGCGTTCTCATCGGCAACCTCACAATCTGTGCAATAATGCATAGCAGTCTTGTACTCAAGTATTGTGCAGCCGTAACGGCGAATTTAGCCGCCGTTAATACTGCGCTCAGCCTGTACTCCGCGTGCAAGTAGCCACAGACTTCTCGAGTCTCCGCCAGACATTGATCATACAATGGTAAGACTCGCGTTTGTCCCAGCGCGGTGTTTGAAATGTACACGGCTCTTACCATTACGGTCTCTCTAGCCATCTCAACACCTAACTAGGCCTGCTATCTGTCTTCGGCGGTTTTGCCTTTCTTTGGGTTCAAAAGGCCGTTGATCCAGCTGTGCAGACTGTGTGTCCTTCGTGTTTTCCACTTACGTCTGTCCTCCGATCCTTCGCGACGATTCTCGGGCCAGTGTTTCCGCGCCGTTGCCAATATTCTAAGGTCATATGTGTTCCTGAAATGTGCGTTTGATCATTGCCGTTTTAGCGCATCAATCTAAAAGACGGTCTCATGTTAGTTTTTGAAGACCGAGCAAGTCGGGGAATATAACCGCTTAAAACTACCTGCGTTTTTCTCGTATACGTCCTTTTCGACTGTTGTTCCCCTGTCTTTCGCCTACGCTTGATACTCTGCCCAAAATTCTCGCCACACACCCTCACGTTTATGATCGTCTCTTACAGCAGAGGCCGATGTCACAAATTTCTTATGTACCGAACCCAGGAAAAAATACCGCAGGCCTTAATCATACAATGCGAGATATCCAACAAGACATCGTTATGCCAAAATACTCCAATCAATATTCAATATCTCATATAGGTACGCCATAACGATATTTACTCTTATCATTGATATTCATATCGATGTCTCATTTAATTAGATTTCCACGAGGCTGCTAATCCTCTACCAGCGTTATATTCGAACCTTGACGCGCAGGGGGCCGATCATATTCTCAACGACACTCAATTCAGTCAAAGATCCTTCCTTGGATATGACACTAAACGCAACTTCTCTAATACTTCTGAGGAAGATCCCTATCGACCGCAAACATTCTACCAGTCTCATTTGCATTTACCATATTCTCCGGACTCTGCTCAACCTTGTCCGCGAATCAGTCGACAAAATTCTTCGAGCACGCCTCCGGATTATCAGACACCAGCTGGCTCTGCGGTACCAGCACGTGGATATAGCATCTCCCAACAGGAGCAGAATCGCAGAGGATTGACATCATTTCAAGTGTCGCCGTCCCTGCACCCCAGTTTTGCGTGCTTCGGCGGAGCTCAGAACATCCCGTGGTATCCGTTACCAGGAATATTTGCCGATCAAATCAATTCAGAGGCGACTCGCTGTGCTCGATTTCCAGCGCAGTCTATGTCTCCGCAATTTATTTGCTCCGAATTATCTGAAGAGCGCCCGCCACAGCGCCGACGTATCGCTTGGTCCAACTCAATAATATGTAGTTCCTCAGACGCAGGAAGTACATCCGATACCTCGCATACGACAGTATCCAGCACCCAGCGCCAAACCACGCACGTAAGGAAATCCCGTAATGCCAAGAAGGGACGCGGGAAGGTATGCCAGTTGCCTAACCTCGCGCAATCCTCGTGTTTCTAAGTTGCACATCCTATCGATCCAGCGTACGCACACGGAAATTACCGGGAATTCATCTTCTGCATTTACTACCTTCTCAGTCAGTCTAACACCGGCAGAACATGAACCCGCTGGTGCAACATACATGTCTACAGTCGACTTCAGGTCCGACTCAGACTGTCAGGCTTTCGAGCACGGCCCGACAGATCTGCCTCCTCGACCTTACATTGGTGGCCCCGATTCCACGAGTCCTTGGAAACCACGAAAGAATTTGGGTACAATACCGGGAAGTGCGCTCGATTATGTGAGGCCCTATTCAATTTCTTCTCTTCTTTCCATCTCTGCAATAAATTCTTGCGGCCTAATTGATGTCGTGGCGTTAACATTGTGCACGGCTGCCTCTTCATCAAAGATTTACGAACTTCATTGATGTCATGATCAACAAAACTCTTAACTGATTCGCTCTTCTCCTTTACACAGCTTCCTATCGTTGAAGATCGCATGGCACGGTTAGAGAGGGCCCTGGATTTGTATTTAAAATACAGGGGCGAACGCGCTGTCCAGAACGCGATTTTACCTGGATTGGACATAGATACCGAGCCCGCTAACTAAACCTATTTTTACCCACGCATACTATCTTCTTTTATTTCCCTCTCTGAGGCATACCTTCTCCGTCAAGTATCGATCTCCTGTAACTGTCCTGTATATTACAATCATAGTAGAGAATCGCCATTACTTTCTTTCAGCGTATAACGCGCATTGACGACGATGAAAGCAAACATGTATCCTTCGCACTTAATAGAAAGATTTTGAATATCAGAATAGACACAATCACATTCGAACTTCGAAGTCATCGAGATTTACGGCTTCACTCTTGTGACCGGGAGTCTTTGAACAATGCCCTTGAACAACGGATGGTGGAGCTGGAGTTAGAATAGAACCTCCAAAAGTCCGTCCATCCCTTAACTTCTCACTATGTTTACACGCAGATTGTTTCTCTTGCAATACATCACAAGATGCAGACAATTTCACTGTGGGACAGCTCGTTGGCATCTTTTTTCAGATTGAAATTTCCGAGCTGTAAAGGGTTTTCATCTGTGTAACCAATAAGTATGCAAGTCTGAATCATCAACGCTTACTCTATTAAGACTCTGTGTATTTTTTGCATATTATTATTAGGGCTTCTGCAGATTCTAATTTTTGCAAATGAATCAATCACATTTGGTACACGACTACCTTACTCTCATAGACAGAATGCTCTGTGGCCATCACAAATCATGCAAATCATGTTCGGGGTGGAGGTCTAGATGAGACTAACACCTGTGAATGTATGTAAATTTGTAATTAGAAAAAGTCTGAGATGGCCAAAGATGTACACGTGATTGCATTCTTGGCATTCTAATCCAACTGCCAGTGTATGCACAGCTGCATCAATGTATGGCCAAGAACTCTATGGAGCACCAATAGGACCAAATAGAATTGACTTTAAGTACATATGTAGTAGTAATGATTATTTCATGCCTGCCTAGTTTGCACAAATTATTGTAGTAAAGTAATGTGTTAACATTTAAATTGTCTTAGATATGTTAAAGTCTTGTAAAAATACACTATTAGAGACATATAACCAAAACATATATTCTAAACATACATAACTGAGACACACATTCAAAACATTATTATTATATGTATAAATAGTACATGAATCTACAGACTATGAAACTGATAAACTATACTATAAACATAAAGCTAAGTCTACTAAACCTCTACTTGTGTAACTTATACTCTACTATTACTGAGTATAAACTTACAGAAGAATATTAGCTAACATAATATAAGTAGTCTAAATAGCTTACTATATGTGTTAACTGTACTGAGTTCAGTTCAGTCCTCTACACTTTTGAAAAAAACTCTAATGTACAACCTTTGTGTTACTGTCAGAAATTTAGTACAATAGTTCATTATAAGTTCTAAAGACTAATATGTCTAAATATAATAACTAACTTACTTTCTTAACTTATTGTTTATTATTATCAAATAGTACTACTTATCAGTTATAGTTATAACTATCTAAGGTACATTTATAGTAAATGCTTATGTTTATTACTTGTGTAATTAACTTTAAAGTCTGTTCTAGTACCTTTAAAAGTCTTACACTATAAACAATTCACTTTCAATTAATACTCTATTTCCTTTCACTTGTTCCATGTTTGATTGTACTTGTTCTTTTGTGTTCCTTAGAACTAGGCAATTTTCTATGTTTGTCAGTCTTTTGTTGATGCCTAGACACTGAATGCTGTTCTTTTGTTTTAGATGTAGTAGCACCATCTTTAGGCTTGGATCCCTGTACTTTGCTTTCCTTTTCTACTGTACCAGAGTTAATACTCTTACTTTCATTTGTAATACTATTCAACCAGTCCTATAAAATTACATAATATGTTAGGATCTGTTTCTTGGTTTTGTTAGGCAGATACAACACACATACATTTTCATCAAGAGCACTCCTTGCTGTTACCCTTTTATATTGGTCTATCTCAAGACAGCTCAGGATAAATTTTTTTGCTAAGCAGTTCATCATTTAGCTATAGCTTGTTATGTCTAATTTTATTCTTTATATTCTCACCTTCATTAGAGATATGTGAGAAACAATCATCTTGTAATGTGTTTGCAACTTTCTTGTTGTCCAAATTGTTTGCAACTTCATCAAGTTGATTAATAGAGGGATTTCTAGTACCCCTCTTGTTCAGCAAATAACGATAAAGAATTGCTGCAGCAAGGATCTCAAGTGTGATTATTCTAGAAACACAACATCTACACCTTTCTTCACAAATAGTTTGCACCAGACATACCCTATTCCCCATATGTCTTCAGCTTCCGAGTGGGTTCCCCAAAATACCTCGGGGGCATTGTAATCTGGTGATCCACACCGTTCAATTCCCAAGTAGTTTGTTTTTGGTACTACACTAAATTCGAATATTACAGAAGACTTGCAAAGCACATGAATGACTGGACGACTTACTAACTGAAATCACCTATCATGAGCCGGTCTTTGGTGAAAGGAGCAGATTCCCCATGCGGCCGCATTATAAATAGGTTGTCAGTCCTAATTATGTTTCAAATATTATGACTCTCAAACTTGAAGGATCGAACTCACTTCATATCTCTGTGCATATACCCTTCAGAATGAAGATAGGCTAGGCCATCGAGTGCTTGCCTTTCCACAAATAAATGTAAGCTACTACTAGCACGTGAAAAACACTACATTACCTCATATAATGTATTGCTTCCGTTTCCGTCAATGTATATCTGTGGAACGTCAGAATGCGCTCATTGAGATTCCCGCCAGTTGCAAACTCAATAACAAGGACCCAAGCTTGATCGTTTTCAAAAGCTCCATAGAACTTTATCTTGCATACCGTTAATCAGATGGCTTAATAGTACTGGCGAAGTTTAACATGATGACATACTATATTCCTGTGTCTAAGCCTTGAAAGTAACTGCGCTTCGCGTTTTGCAAAGCTCATAACACGCTTTTTTTCGTCGGGTCCCCTATAAAAGAAATCATCTGGCCCTTTTATCTTTGGCATTACTTTTGCAGCAAACACTTTATTCGTATGTTTCGTATCCTGGCCCAGTCCCATAGTTTGTGTGTCAAAATCACTTCGTTCCACTTGCTATTAAAGGTAACTATCATATTAGTTCTCGGTTTGATAGTATACGTCCAATGAGCAATAAAAAAACATTCATCCTCTGGATCACAAAAAATGCACTCACCCACACTATACTATACGTGCCCTTACCAAGTGGGTTTTTACCTTGCTGTTGTAGTATTCCTGTACTGCCTTTCTTATTCAATGGTGTGAACCATGTCTTCTCGAATTTGGCAGCATCTGTACCAGTATGGCTGAAAGGGACCAGGTCCTGTAGTTCTGGTAAAGGTGAGTCTGCAGACATTTGCCTATAATATGAGTGTGTGATAACTTCTGAAATACGCGATATTGAGATGATTGTAGTTGTTAGGAGGGGATGTTGCTGTAGGTCTATAAATCCTGGCTCCTTTGCCTTAGTAGATTACAAAGTGCTGATTTTGCATCTTATTGTATTAAGGGGACTACTCTATAGTAGTACCTTTAGTACTACATTGCACCCTTTGATATGCTGGATATGGTCCACTTAATCTGTTTAAAGTTTGGGTATTCATAAAAAGCATTATTTATATAAGATGTCAATCTAGGTAACAATTATATTTAGATGATACAAGTAAGATAAATTTTCAGATTACTATCTAAATTGCTTGTGAGAGTCTTACACTTTTTACAGTCCTAAGTGTACTGTGTAACATTACTATTAGCAAGTTGTAATGTGTGAGTTAAGACTTTACTCTAGGATACAGATCAGGTAATTTGCTAGTATTATAGTTATCTCAAGTATATTGATAGAGTAATAAAAGAGTCACTCTGTCTCAGATACTACTTATACTATTTTTCATAAGGTAAACAGAATTAGAAACTTGTGTACAATCTTAAATTCTCTTGTGTTGTAAAGTAAAACAACAAATAGTTTAGAAGAATTTGACCTGGAACTTTTGAGCTCTCTAAACATACTGTTAGTAGTTATTACCTTTAATGTATACAGGTTTTACTATTGTGTATTTGTATCCCTACTCTCATACCTGCTTTTCCTATTTTCTGTATATTACTAATACTATCCTACTTAGTATTAATAGTAGTGTATTGAAACTCCTGTAATGTGTCTAGAGAAGAACACAGGTGAATCAATATGTTTGAGGGGAGCTAAACCACAAGTCCTATAAGACTAGAGTGGTTCTGAACAGATACAGGTTCTTCCAGCACAGGTGCAACCTTGAAAGTAAGATGTGAAGAACAGAACATACACTTGCAAAGTACACAACAAGCAGAGTAATACAGAAACAACTAAGACTAAGACTATGCCTCATACTAGAGGACTTCAAGACAAAAGACAAGAGCTAAATTAATGAGTGAACTATCTGAATTCCCTCTTATAACTAGTACATAAGTAGCTGTATTTATAGTTTTCTGAGTTCTAGAAAAGTGTAGTACTAACAGGGAAATGTTAGGGTTGAACAAAAGAAAAATAACAAAAAATACATGAACAAATAAGAGAACCTTTTGCTAGAGGTTAGAACAAAATAGGGTGAAAATTGTATAAAGAAATTTAAGTAGTCTGTATTCTGGCCATAGAGAATATTATACAAAAAGGAAAGGCAAGATTTGAATTGAAAGTAGTAGAAAGTTCACATACTGTTACCATCTGATTAGTGTGGACAAAGTGTAGAGAATTCTGAGATTCTGACTGTCTCCTGAGATCATTACTTTGATTGCCCTAATGTCCTATCTGATTAGAAGATTGTAGTACTTTGATCCAGGCAATAATGACATAATAGTTTGCTGAGCCACTTACTGTGATGCAACTTGTGTTCTGAGCCTGTAATATGTACATGATCTATACATCCTGTAAGGTGAGCAGCTTGTGTAAGTCTATTCTGAGACTGTACAAGTTTACAGTTCTAGTTGTAAATGTTTGTAATACAGAATAGTTGAATGTTCTTAGGAGACACTTCTATGAGCTACATGGATGTTCAGAATTGATTACTATAATTGTCTGTATGTAATGTATGGTTCTTAGTATAATACTAATTGTTTCAGTATTTACTCTGTTTTTGTAAGATTCTAATATACTGTGTATAAGTATACACATAATTTACAAGTCTATTACAATTTATAGTTATAAATTTACAATTGTAATTTTAAGACCTTAACTCTTAAGTATAAGTATATATACTATATACTGTATTTACACTCATAATTATAAAATTATAATAGTACTTACTAGTAAATAATAATAATAAAACAATTCTTGTTACTTCTATTTAAGCTCTTTATAATTTTTAACAAGTGTAGCAGGAGTGCCCCAAGTACTCTCTCTTATTAAGACATCAAGCAAGTATCTACCTTATATACTATATAGTGAAGTCTGATAATCTGAGACATTCCAAGTTGCAGTAATTCTACATAAGGCAATT